CCCCTAGGATTGTTTAGTCCCTCATATGAGAGATATAGAGTCCGGTCGGACTCCATGTCCGGCGGACTAAAAATCCAATTAAACAATGGACATCTCTATTCTTCGGATAAGCAATCCGAACAGTGAATAATCCCCCCTAATCCCCCCAATCAAACATATTATATAAAATGGTGCTATTAGCACCTCATGAATTATTTTGGACCTTCCATTTTTTTGAACCTCCACTTATAAATTTTAAAACCCTTAAAATTTCTTTTCTCCTCCCAAGTAATGCCAAAATTATCATTAAATATTCCACCCATTGAATGAACACCCCCCACACCCCTACACCCCCAAACAAACCTCACTTCCAAAAAAATTTTAACAAAACCTACTAAGAAGAAGAAGAGACTCATCTTTTTCAAAACCCACGAAAAACAAGACGAAGAAGAATATTGTCAATGTTCATATAAGCTACAACATGATATAGCCTTTTGACTAACTGTTACACAGAGAGAGAAAGTGAAAAAGATCTTTTTCTTTTTTCTTTTTTTTAAAAAAATCTCGTTTGGGCCATTTAATATGCTGACTTGTGATCAACTGTTCTTATTTAACATGGTATAGCCTTTTGATGTGCTCCCGTCTCTACCATAACATGTCCTCTCTTTCTTCTCTCTATCTTTGTCTTGGGATTGTGGCGGTGTGGGTAGCTGTGTGTGTGGTGAGAATTGTGGGAGAGCCATAATGTCATTGAATTTTTATAGGCTTATTGTGAGCCAACTTTGAGCCCAATTTTGATTGGGTCTCAAACGTCTTTTGGGGTGGGTTCGAAGAGGTGACGTATTCCTTGCCGCATGACAAGTCACACGGTGAAGACGGTTCGTCACCATTTATGAGTGAATGACAACTTGACGTTATTTTCAGGTTATGGAATGGACATTTAAATAATTAAATGTGGGTTTCCTTATAAGGCTAGTCCCACATTGGAAACTCAAGAGAACTTATGTGTGTATATAAGTTCTAGGTGATAATACTTGGGTTGAGCCCCAAGGGGCACCCCAAGGTTGTAGAAGGGAGAAGTTATGGACAAATAGAACCTTGGCTCAAACAACTACAAGCACACGCGTGCTATCGCTGCCGTTCCTCCAACCAGTCGATTGTGCCGTGACGGGTGTAGATATGGGTTGAGTCGGTTCTTATATTAATTTGTGGACAAAATTTATTTGAAATTGTTTTTTCAAAAATTCTTGCGGGAAAAATAAATTTAAATTTTACGTCAATGTAATTTGAATTCAATTTTTTGTCCAAAATTTGTGCCTCTTTTTAGATTAGAATTCCATTAATTTCCCAATTGTTGAACAATTATAAAACTGCCCAGACAGATTCAAATCTGCCCAGCAGTCACCAACAGATCTGTCCAGGTTTTTGAACTGCATCTGTTCAAAGCAGTTGCATATCCGTTCAGTTTCAAATATGTATCTGTTAGGCAGATTTCATACATGTTCAGATTTTCTGGACAGGTTTATAACTGCTGCAGTTTCAAACAGATTCAAACTATTTTACAGTTATAAAACTGCCAGAAATTGCCCAGCAATTACAGATTTAAACCAGCAGCAGTTATCTATTTAAATCTGCCTCAAGATCTGTTTGAATTCAAACTACATCTGTTCAATTCAAATTTACACCTGTTCAGGTTGGTTTCATACCTGTTCGGGTAGTTTATTTGTCTATAAATAGAGGCCATTTCCAGCAGTCTTTGGCATCCGAAAATAGACTGAAAAAATTGATTTTGTTATATTCCTTTTGCTCTCTTGCATCAATTATTCTTTATATTATTTTAGGAAAAAATTTAGAGTGTTTAGAACACAGGTTTTGTTCGCCGAACAAATTGTTTGGAGTACTATTACAATTTGTGAAGATCATTGTATACTGGGAGATAGACGCCATTTGTCCATAAGCACCGTAGAAGGGCGAATTTGTCTTAAGGATAGAGTGTCACACACTCGACTTGATCTTTTAATTTTTTATTCGGTTCGGGAAAATAAATTCGGTAAGTAATTTATTTTATTTGTTTGATTTGTTTGATTATTTTATTATACACAGAAGATTGTTCCAACAGGGTGTGTGTGTGTGGTGAGAATTGAGGGAGAGCCATAAACAAAACGGAGTTGTAATGTACCAAAAAATGGCGAGTTTCTTTCATGTTTAGACCTGTATTCCCGAACAAATAAGTTATGTTCGGAAATGTGTTCCCGAACAAATAAATAATGTTCGGGCCTGTATTTTCGAATTTGAAAAAATAAAATTTCTACGAGTGTTAAGGATTTTAATTGTTAACTCGCCGTCATCTTGAAATAAATAACAATACAAATTAAATTTCAAAATGTGATCAATAAAACAGGTCTGAACCTATGAATAATGTTCGGTTACCTGTTTCCGAACAAATAAATAATGTTCGGGCCTGTATTCCCGAATTTCGGTCATATGCTCAGGAGTTTAGTCCCGAAAAAATAATGAATAAATTTTGTTACTTTTGCCATTTTTTTAAAGAAACGTATCCTTATAAGGTCAATCTCCTCTGAACTAAGAACAATATCAAAGCTACGAACCTCTTTTAAATTTTTATTGTTATACTCCTCTCGTCTTATAAAGTTGTGATTGTCAGAAAAACTTCCACTCATTGTCATTTATAGAGAAGTGTAAGTAATCAAATGGTTGCCACCGTTACATTAGAATATTGCCGCAAAAGAGTTTTCAAGGTTTTGAGGGTGAGTAGGTTTTGAAGATGTGATTTGGAGAAGATGAATGGGTGGTGATGGATGTAGGTACTCTTATAAATCCTAATTTATGATGTAGTGGGTATGTAGGTTTAATTGTGATATGAAGTGTTCCAAAATTAATGATATCCTTTGTAGTAATTTTATTTGAGACTATTATTGTAATAAAAAAGATTAAAAATTAGGAGGACTAAAATAATTTATGAAGTGCTAATAATCACACACATTATATATATTTATTTATTTAAATAAATTGTAATTAGTGAAAAGATGGAGCTTGCTAATTTCTCTGCGTGATAAAGAAAGACAACAAAGGACTATAACATTTGGTCATTGACACACCTAACCACGTTGTAGTGCCCAAATGTGCCGAATAATTTTTCCCCCAGTGCTTACAGGTTAGTATCTAAAATTTCACACGTGTCAATAGAAGATGAGGTAGCGAACATGATCTGTATGTTACTACAATGCTTCGAGCCTGTTCCACTCCCCGCAAGAAAAAAAAAAGAAAAAGAAAAGAAAAAAAAATAAAGACATTGATTAACAACCTTTAAATAGTTGTAAATATATTTTGGGTTTGGTCGGTCTTCAGTCCAGATCTAGGATAGTCCGGTCTAATTTGGCCTACGTTTCAATTTATTTTCAACAATCACAACCGTTCACATTTTAAGATTTGTTGATTACATTATTCTTATAAAACATCACATCGATTGGATAACGGATAATATGTATTCGGATAACTTTTTTATGAACCGTTAATTTTTTGACTGTCTATTTTTTTTTCCAGACAAAAGTGATCCGAATATATAATATCCATTATCTGATCGACTTGATTTTTACAGGGATAATGTATTTAGCAAATCCTAAAATGTGAACTGTTCGAATTATCGAAAAGGGATCCAATGGGCCGAACTAAACTCTCTAGTCTAGATGGTCAACTGGAGACAAGCCTCAGCCATATATTTTTGGGAATGGCTTCCCCCAATCTAATCATGGATTGGAGGGTACTATTGGGCCGCAAAGGCCCACCACAGGTCCTGTTTCAATAATCCGAATCGTGTAATATGTACAACTCGTTAAGTAATATATGCTTGTAAAAAATTACATTGATCGGATATCAATAGTTATGTAATCAGATCAGTTTTGTATGAAAAACAATGGACGGTGAAAAATAAACGTCTTACAAAAATCTGATTTGATCACATAGCTATCGATATCCGATCAACGTGAGTTTTTACGGGTATATAGTACTCGATGAGTTCGACATATTGAACGGTTCGAATTATCAAAATAGGACCCATGATAGACCTCACGGACCCAACAGTATCGTCGAGTACTGGAGGAAGTTCATTCCCTATATTTTTATCCAAAATATAGAATCAATTTGAACTTCTTATTTAAAGTGTCCATGGAGGTTAACAAAATCCTTTCAAGGTAATCCCAAAAAATGGAACTGACGCTGCTTCCAGCAATAATTTCAATCTCGAAGTTCAAATATCACGTGAGACCCACACTCTATTGTGAGTCCGCAATAAAAATAATGTATCCATAACCGGACTCTTATATGAATCCCCCATTCACTGGAATTTCAACACAGCTGATTTTGGAATCTCAGTCATTCATTTGCTAATGAAAGAAATCATCAAGCATACAAGAATCATAAGAGTTAAAAAATAGGTTTAGAAAGCCCCATTGCGTAAAATAGGAAAAATAAAAATAAATAAAATTGTGCACTTTTTTTTTTATTTCTACCATTAGCAACAAACTGCACCCAGTGTGAAATAGAGTAGTCATTGACATCAACAACTAATAATCTTATGCATATTATGATTATGATTATGATTATGATGCAAAAAGGTTGGTCTATTAATCTAAAGCCTCCAATGAAAGTAGGTTTACTTATTTGTTTTATTATGGCACACAAAAAATGTCAGAATAGCCAATTTTCCTTCAACACTGATACAAAACATGGAAGTATTCAAGTAAAAGCCAGTAGAGGACCAGGAAGATGGGCGGGCGACACAAAATCAATTCCCTTTATATCATATCTTAAAATTTTAATGGACCAGCTGAGAAGCAATTAACATCCACAAATCCCCTGAATATTATTGTTGAGGGAGAACCAAATCAGGTTAATGATTACAGTAACAGCCAAAATGGAACTCTCTCTGATTCACATCATGCCAGAGATAAATAAAAACTTGAACTTGCATAGATAGAAATATTTCACACACACAAACAAAATTCAACTATATAATATATTTCCATTCACATTTCAATTGAAGGTTGAAACAATTCAAGACCACGCTTTAATTTGAAATATACTTTCACATCCTGATTTGTTTTCCAAGGACTTCATATATACACCTAAATAATAATATTTCCATTCTCTGCGCACCATATCATGCACTACTTTTCTACATTTTAACTTGCAGTAGAAGAGCAAAAAGGCTGGCATCTATGAGGACTTAATGCTTACATTTACTACAGTAGTGGGCTATTAGAGGAGATCCGCAGTTATAACAAAAAGTATGCCCGCATCTGTGATCATCCACAAAAACAAAATATACACATATAAGTAAGCAGATGATTGGGAGTAAAAATAAATAATTAATTAAATGAATCAATATAATCAATTGGAAATGGTTCAGATCGAGTTTCAATCTTCATCAACTGAAGAGACATGCTTGCTAAAAAAGACCAATCAAACACTACAAATGATTTTTATGTTCTCAACTTGAAGACCAAGGTCATACGACATAGGAAGTAGAAATGCAGAAAAAAAAAATGAAAGGAAGTTTGACGGAGTTGAGAACAACTACATCAAGAACAGTACTGTTTATACACCAGACTTCCACCATAAGTCCGTTTGTCTCTACTTCAAAATAACAAAATTTTGGATAAAAAACATGGCAGCACCATTAAAATATGAACAACCAACTACGAAGATCAAAAGTACAGGACCAAGAAGCAGTTGTCCATGCCACATGAACATTATAACAGCATACAAGGGATACAAAAAGTTATAATTGTAGTTTCTCATCTGGTTCAGAAAATAAAAAAAATTAATGCATTTTTTCATTATCATATTTGGGTAACTGACGAAGCAGATGGGGATATGAGTAAAATTCCTTTTCTTGCTTTATATATTGATGTACAATTTTGGCATTATGAAAATATACAACCAATCATATTTGTTTGTCACTAAATTACACAATTTTTGGTGAGAGATGAAACACAAAATAAGAGAGTTTTTCTTTCTATTCAATTCTCATTATTTTTCACTATTTCTCACTTAATTTATAAACCAAACATGAAAAAAAGTTCAATTTCTCATAATTTCTTGTCAAATTGCTCAAACCCAACAGAGCCATGGTGAAACCATAATATTGCTATCCACCCTAACTGTCCATTTCCATGCTACATGAACAGAAGATAAACAAGAAGAATGACTTTACAGTTTAGAATGCAAGTACCATAATACAATATCATATAGAATTTCAAAAACCTTATTCTATTGACCAAACAAACAAACAAATAAATAACTGAAATTGGGAAACCAACCAACCTGCACATCATAAACAAGCAACCTTGAGATTTCTCAACATAAAACTTGCACTTGGGACACCTAATCCACTTGTTCTTCTTAGCAAGTTGTATTAACATGATGTCTTCTTTTTCTCTCTCATCCTTGTTCAGCTTCTGAAACTCTGCACATTCAATCCCCGAATGCCACGGAACCTTACACTGGGCGCAGAACAACCTCCTGCAATTGGGACACTCAGACTGGGTAATAACCTCTTGCTCTCCAGCTTCTCCACCATCATCGATCAAAAGGGCGGAGCAATCCTTGTAAGGGCAATAGAACTTGTGGGAGGAGAGAATGACAGCCTCGCAGAGAGCAGTGCCCCATCTGTCGAAGACGTCAGGGGGCAAAATGGGACGGCAATGCTCTGGGTCCAAGAGGCCGTTGCAGTCAGGGACGGGACATTGAATTTGGGTAATGTTATCCTGGAGCTTGGAGGCCACGAATTTGAGAATACAATCGGAACAGTAAGAGTGGGTGCAACCCATTATGCTGAATGAATCGCTGAGAGGCTTCGGTTCCACGCAGATTTCACACATGAAGGTTGTGGTCTCAGTCTCGGACTTGGACTTGGAAGACTGACCCTGTTCAGTGATGGAAGGGCCGCCTCTAAATTGCTTTCGAAATAACGATGAAGACGAAGAAGAATCGAGAACTTGAATATCATCGTCGTCGTCGTCGTCGTCTTTGTCTGGGAAAAGGGATAGGTCGATGTCGATGATCCTTCTTTTGCGAGGGGGGGTATGGGTATGGGGAAGCAGAGAGGCCATGATGGCAAGCTGGAGGTCTCTATGATCGGAGTAGTGTTCAACTGAGATTGCGTTGTTGGCGTTGGTACCATCCTTGTTCTTGGTTGTTGCGTAGAGTAGTGATATTTCATCGTTTTCGTTTTCTTCGTCGTCTGCTAGATCAACGATCTCAGCAGGGGAAACCGTGCTACAGCGGATTGAGATGGGCCTTGATTTTGAATTTGGAGTAGCCATCTTCATAGTTGAGTCGAGTCCAGTCTCAGATGGTGCTGATTGAAATTGATGATGACGATGATGATGACCTCGATGCGGATGGGTCTTTCTCGGATTCTGGGTGGCACAGCATTCAAATTCAAATTCAATACTACAAGTTTGAATTGTGGGAGAGCAGAGAGAAGATTGAAGATGAGGGTTTTAGGTGTTTCGAGTGATTTATTAGCCTCTTCATTTCCTTTCTTTCCTCCGTTTTTTTCCAACGACTTTAGAAGAAGACTAGAGAGAGAGAAGACACACGGGAAATCAAATTAAAATTCAACTTTCCTAATATACAATCTTTGGTTACGATAATTTTTTTTCTGTTTTTTTTTTACCTTCTAGTGTAAGGAAATACCTTATAGGCTATGTTTTATATAAATTTTTTGAGCTAAAATAGTTATGACAAGACAAAATAAACTAAAAATTAATAAAATAAAATATTATATTTTAATCATAATTATTTTATTTATATTTTTATAAAAATCAAAAAAATAAAAAGACACTCCTTTCAAACGAGATTTTTTAAATCTTAACTATAATTTAAAAATTAAAAAATCAACTCAACATAAAAATTAAAAAATCAACTCAACATGCACCCACTAAGTCAGAAAGGTAAATAGGACCCATTAGCTTCAAATTAAAAGTCCTAAGGGTTGGTTTGAGATGTCCTAAAAAAATGCACTTTTTGACTTATTGGTGGGTTTGGATTGGGTTTGAGTTGGGTTTGATGTGTTAAAGAGGTGATGTGATTTAAATAAGATGATGTGACTTAAATAAGATAGTGACTTTTTAACTTTTTAGCTTATTTAGTACATGCCAAACTAGCCCTAAATATATACTATACCACTCCTCTCAGTCTCAGAATGAGAATGAAGTACACACACCCCAAATCAATCAAATAGCAAGTAAATTTAAAAAACAAATTAACTACACACACGAATGCGAGTCCATGTATGCGTGGGCCAAAGTCAAAAAAAAATAAATATTAGGAGGGTCCTTTCCTTTCCTTACTTCGAATAGTACTAGGATTCTTTGGCTTACTAAAATGTGAAGCTAATAGCATCATTGAACCTGTATATTATATTCCATCGACAAAATTTCTGAAACTCTATACTCAACCCGATCACAGCATCACTTGATAGACAAGAGAGGTCATAAATAATCAGAAACATAGACACACGGTTAAATAATCAGATAAAGAAAAGAAGTTCCAACGAGATGAATCCGTATAATAATAAACAAATACAAATGGACCAAAGTATACTTGTATATATATACATTTAGTTGTTCTGTGAAGGCCCATGTTTCAATCCCCCTTGAACCATACATGTACAATCATTATTACATTCGAATAGGAAAATGGGGCAGAAGAACCCACCGAGCCATGGCACTTCAGTAGTAGCAAAGCCATGTCATTCATGTAATTTTCAGTGTAAACTGGCCCGTAACACAAGTTTGGAGTAAAGGTCTCCGAGGGCAACATACAAAGGCTCAGCCGCCTTTGGTCTGTCGACAGTCCCAAGAAGAATATCAGTTGTCGTGAGATAGGGATCACCGTAGAAGCGCAGATTAGTGTCCATTCTTGTTGCAACAATGCTCCCCTCCAGTGAGACTCCTACAAAAGCACCTGCCCAATTATTTACACAAACCGTCAGGCTTTCTCTTCTGAACCCTTCAACAAGACACCTTCACTTGTAATTAGCTGGAAATACATTCTCCAATTTGAACTAATGCATTCTCATCTTACAACTAGTAGAAACTTTACTATTAGAGTTATAAGCAAGTGAAATTAATTGAAAGCTACTCAAATAGATGTAAAATGCGAGGATAATCCTCCCACCCACTAATTTCTAGCAGATAATTGGGCACTTGCGCACCAAGGTTTTAAAATCACTCAATCAGTCAAAAGATTGAGATATAAATTATTTGCACAGTACAAAAATGCTATGCTCTTTCGGGAAATTTTTTTAAAAAAAAATTGCAAGCAGAACACAATCCCAAGGACATTGAAAAAAAATGATGTCTTTTATGTATTTTAATGAGATTCTTAAACCCTTCACATTATGGGTTATGTGAAATATAACAGTTACTTAAAAAGGCTTTGCAGTTGCATGCATCCTACCACAGAATTAAGGCTGATCAGGGGCCCAATTCGAAACACCCTATCAAAAAAAATAAAGGAGGATAAACCAAATGATGCATAAAACGAGGTAATTTCTGGGAAGGGTAGAAAAAAATGATCGAGCATACAGTACCTTTGCTACAACTGTAAGTATAACACATGCCAGAGCCCCTGTCTCCAGCTCGCAAATCTGCTTCCAATACTCTTCCCACAGGACCAGCTGCAGCGCTACAACCAGCCCCAAGAGAAAAATGCATGCGACTACAAAACGTTTTTACTGCTTTCGAATCATGGAGCACAATTATGAAGTCCATTAGCTCACCCCCAACCTACATAATAAAAGGTCAAGAAAAAGGCATCACTTGTGATGACAATATGGAACCAAAGTCAAATAATTATGGCTAACATTTATCTGCAAAGAAATGATAACATGAATTCACATTGGAGCCCATTGTAGCCTGTGCCCATGAACATCAATGCCTCAAAATCTGGCTAATGACAAAAACAATGGCTCTGACAATCATGGTAATGAAAAAGAGATGCGCGGACACATTCTTTAAGCACATAAATATTCCAGAACTTCATGAGTAATGAAATGAATCAGATGTACATGATTTCAGTAGAGTAGAGCAGATTGAAGAAAAAGGTATATGCAAGATTAGTGCATGCAACATGAAGGGTTGACCATGCATATGCATGTAAAACAAAAGCCATTCTAGTAAGGCTGCAAAGTGTGAAAATGATGATCTGGTCTAGTTCAATAGTGTAACAACCCTCATACTGTTTACTGACTAGGGACTGATTGATTACCGATAATCACCGATTACTGTTAAACGAAACTGATAATGACTGATAACTAACTGATAATCGAACTGAATGAAATACTGAACCGACTGACTGAAATTGAAACTGAATTGACTGAGTATATGTTAGTTAATTGCATTCTATCTGTTTGATTGTCTGATTATCTGTTCATGCTTATATGTTTAAACTGTTAATTGAAGGCCTTATCGGCGGCCGAACTAAAAACCGATTGATGTTCCGTGACCCTCATAATTAATATGATTTTATGGTATAATTATCATGTTAAAAACTAGTAAAATAATAAAAAATAGTAAAATAATGATTTATTTTATAAATCTTATTAGATTTTTTTTATTATATTTAATTTAATTAAATTTATTATTATATAACAAATTATATTATTTATTATATGTTAAAAACGGGAGGGGGGAAGACAGCACAAATCGACAAGAAAGAAAGAGAGAGAGAGAGAGAGAGAGAAGAAGCAGAAGGAGAGCAGATCGAAGGCGATGGCCATGGCGATGTCAAGACGATCGAAGGCGAGAGCGAAGAGGAGTAGATCGCGAGCAGATCGCGAGGCGAGAGCAGATCGAAGGTCGATGTTGAAAGTACAGACGATGTCGAAGGTCGACATCAATGTCAAAGGAGAAGGCGATAGCGAGACCAGGTCTCTCTCTCCCCTTTACGATCCCATCTTGGATTGAATCGCGTTTCTCTCTCCACAGAAACACGATTCTTACACGTTTCTTTCTAGAAAACGCGAAATCGCGATTCTTACTAAGAATCGCCACCTGTTTGCACGATTCCTGCAACTAAGAACCAAACCAAGTCTTAAGTCCCATCAAATAGAGTCGGCTCCATAAATCCTTCTTCTCCACGCGGTCCTATCAGGCCATTTCGTTAGTTAAATTAAGTAAATTCATATCTCTATTTACAACGCTAACCAACGTTTATCTAGGCCTACCCCGTCCCCTAACACTTCTATCTACCGTTACAACATTGCATTTCTTCACTATTGTCTCTGTTGGTCTCCGTTAAATATGATCAAACCATCTCAATCGATTCTCTCTCAACTTATTTTCTATCAGTGCTACTCCTACTCATTCCTAATTTTGTCTTGTCTAGTCTTGCCATACATCCACCTTAGCATTTTCATCTCAGCCACATTTATCTTATCTACATGTTGTTTCTTGGTTGCCCAACACTCCGTCCCATACAACATCGTTGGTCTAATAGCCGTTCTATAGAACTTACCTTTAAGTCCAATGGGTATTCGTTTATCGCACAATATCCCAGACGCACTTCCCCACTTACACCATCCTGCCTTAATCCTATAGACCACATCCGCATCAATCTCCCATGCTGTTGTGATAATTGACCCTAAATAACGAAAATATTCACTCTTAGGCAGTTCTTGGCTCTCAATCTTCACTTCTCCTCTACTTTCATTATTACTGTTACTAAATTTACACTCTATGTACTATGTCTTAGTTCTACTTATCCGAAATCGTTTAGATTCAAGAGCTTTTCTCCAAATCTCCAACTTTGTATTAACTCATTTTCTAGTCTCATCTACTGGCACTATATCGTCTGCAAAAAGCATACACCATGTCACATCATCCTAGATATTTCTCGTCAACTCATCCATAACTAAAGTAAAAAGATAAGGACTTAAGGTAGATCCTTGATGTAACCCTACAGTGATAGGAAATTTATTTGTCTCTCCAGCAGGTGATCTAATAGTGGTCACCACCCTTCATACATGTCCCTAATCACATCAATGTAACATTTTGTCATCCATTTCTTCGCTAACACCCATCATATTATATCCCAGAACACTCTATCATATGCTTTCTCAAGGTCGATAAACACCATATGAATGTCTCTTTTCTTTTCTCTACACTTTTCTATTACTCTCCTTAAAGATAGATCGCTTCCATTGTTGACCTGCCAGGCATAAACCCAAATTAATTCTCTGATACCTCTCTGTTATATCTCGCAATCGGCATTCTATCACCCTCTCTCACACTTTCATTATATGACACATTAACTTGATTCCGCTATAGTTGTTGCAATTCTGGACATCTCCTTTATTCTTATAGATTGACACTAAAATACTCTTCCTCCACTCATCTGGTATGTTCCTAGTCAATAAAATTTTGCTAAACAACCTAGTCAACCAAGCAACCCCTTTTTACCCAAACACTTCCAAGCTTCAACAGGAATATCATCTGATCCTAAAGCTTTATTTGATTTCATCTTCTTAAGTGCAACCTCCACTTCAAAGTTCCTAATTCTACGATAGAACCTATAGTCTTGGTTTATCGTATTATTGGCTATTTCTTCCCCTATATAGTTTCTCAAAATAGTTCTTCCATCTTTCCTTAATCTCTTCATCCCTCACCAATACCTTAGAATCCTCACTCTTGATGCACTTAACTTGATTAAAATCTCCTGTTTTAATCTCCCGTATCTTAGCAAGTTTGTATACTCTCTTCCCTCCCTCCTTACTATCTAGTCTAGTGTATAGATCATCATAAGCTTTCAACTTACTTTTCTCACTACTTTCTTGACCTCCTTATTAGCCAATCTATAACTCTTAAAGTTTTCCTTAGTTCTATCATTTTGCCACTTTTTAAAGCACTTTTTTTTTTGCCTTAACTACCGCTTAAACCTCTTCCTTCCATCACCAAATTTCCCTAGAGCTGGGTCCCGTTCCTTTCGACTCTTCAAGCACTTCTCTTGAGATTCTCCTCATACAATTGGCCATCAAGTCCCACATAATGTTAACATTATTTTTCAAGTCTCAAGAACCTTCCTTATCCATTCTATTCTTAAATATTTTTAATTTATCCCCTTTTAGATCCCACCATCTCGTCCTACGACACCTACCATCCTTCCTAGCTTAGTATTGCCCTCTAAAATATAAATCTAGTACCAAAATTCTATGTTGAGAGGTCAGACTTTCTCCAAAAATCACCTTACAATCATTGCATTTTAGACAGACCACTTTTCTCACTAAGGAGTAATCTATTTGGCTCTTAACTGACCCACCCTTAAAGGTTATCAAATGCTCCTCCCTCTTCTTATACATAGTATTGGCCACCACTAGATTAGAAGTCAACACAAAATCTAAAATACTCTCTCTAGTCTCATTTCTGTCACCAACACTATATCTACCATGCACTCTTTCATAGCCTAGTTTATCTATGCCTACCTGGCCATTAAAACCTCCACCTATAACCAGGTTCTCTCCTACAGTATCTCCTGTAAGATCTCATCCATTTGCTCCCAAAAATCCCTCTTAGTCTGATCATCTAATCCTACTTAAGAGGCGTATGCACTAATAACATTCACTATATTCCCTCCAATAACTAGTTTAACTAACATAATCCCATCACCTTTCCCAATGACCGCCACTACATTCTCCACAAGACCCTTGGCAATTAAGATTCCTACCCCATTCCTGCGTATATCCTTACTACTATAATACAGTTTAAAACTGGTATCCTCAATTTCCCTAGCTTTCTCACCCATCCACTTAGTTTCTTGTACGCAAGCTATACTAACTCTCCTCATAACATCTACCAACTCCATTGTCTTACCCAGTTCAGGTTTCTATATTCCAAGTGGCTACAAAAAAAATAGCCAGTAATACGAGTGATGACTACAAAAAATGACTAAAGGATAACGTGAAGGAGAACCACCTTACATTTCTTTGGGTAAGTATGGAAACATCCCAACATATCTAATGTTGTGGGTTTAGAAAACAAGTGGGTATCAATGACAAAATAAAATTAAATTAAAAGAGATACATGACGAAGCAAACTTAAGGTGAGAATAAACAAAGTGTAGTAGCTAAATTTCCAATTACATTGCCCAAAAGGTCACAATTTAAACATTATTTTAAATAGAAAAGCAGTTACTTGGCACCCTCAATAGAAGATGTTAAGTTGCATGTTAATTGATAGCAAGCTTACCTGAGCACCCCATCCTAAACCAACAGAAACTATAGCAGATGGCGCAGACCATGATCCATCAGACTTTCGGGCAACAACCAAACCAGAGCCAAGTTTGTAAGCAACTAGCATTCCAGCTTTAACAACTGTTAAAATTGCCAATCCTTTGGCTCCTTTTAGAACTGCTGTTGGTATGGACTTCTCGGGGTCCAATCTGGCAACCTGTTTGTTCAAAAACTTCTTCATAGTAAGAAACTTAGAATCTACATAAAATTCACTTGACCTGGACTATGATAAAATGTTTCCAGTTAAAGAGATGAATTAACCATTGACTGAAGTTAAATAAATAGAAGTGTGACTTCCTGTTTCATATTATAAACTACTAACTCCAGAATTTCCATTGGTGGCAAGTCAACTGTCACATGTGTGTGTACCAATAGAATTGCCAATTATACCAATAGAATTTAATTGAAGTCTATAGGTATATACCATGTATCATTTATGACATATGCTGGAAATATAAACTTGGTTGATATGATTTGACGACTGCACATCTGCAAACCTGAAGAGATTTCCACCCTCAGAGACTCTAAATGTTTTGAATTGGAATCACCAAAATACGATGCAATGCTGGTTTGAGTTCCTCCCACAATCCAATAGGTAGTTCAACCCAACCATGAAGATCAATGTCAAATGACAGGAACTCCAAAACATAACCGGGGCAACATTCTTGCAACAGTGGTGCGTGGGGCAAAGGTTCATGGTTATTGTACTCTGACCAACCATTATGCAATAATTTCCTATGATCATAATATGAATAACAGTGATTCATTTCAATGAAAAATGACAATTGTTGTACATTTCCTTCATTCCTCGTGTAGACCATTGCCATCCCCCCTGACTGTTTACGAGCCAGATTTTCTTCATCCTCTACACAAGGAAAGAAGAAAATGTACGGCAATTGTCATTTTTCGTTGAAATGAATCACTGTGATTCATATTGGTTGGTCAGAGCACACTAACCACAAACCATTGCCCATGCACCACTGTTGCAAGAATGTTGCCCTGGTCATGTTTTGGAGTTCCTATCATTTGACATTGATGTTCACGGTCGGGTTGAACTACCTATTGGATTGTGGGAGGAATTCAAACCAGCGTTACATCATATTTTGGTGATTCCAATTCAAAACATTTAGAGTCTCTGAGGGTGGAAATCTCTTCAGGTTTGCAGATGTGCAATCGTCAAATCATATCAACCAAGTTTATATTTCCAGCATGTCATAATGATACAAGGTATATACCTATAGACTTCAATTAAATTCTATTGGTATAATTGTCAATTGGCAAGTTCTAGTAGCAATAAGTCAATGGTATGACACAGCTGGAAGATAAAAATGGTTTTAGATTAAACAAAAGCAGTCACTAGTTGAAAAAGTGTTTCACTAAATACGTGAAGAGCACCTGGCAGTAACTCCTTAATGTATTTGACGATTTATATATCTCATATTCCATGGACAGACCCACTGGAAGATTCAGCCAACCCCTCATGCTTGTCCAATCCATCACATCATGCTTTGCAACCTGTACTGCATTGCTAATGGTGTTGATAAGCACACTTTGTAAAGGATCAAGCCTATCATAGCAGGTGTCGCACACTCTCTGCGGATTCCTCTCTCTGAACTTAACAGGTAACAAGCACCTCCCCTTCGAGCATGCCCTACAAAATATCCCTCCACAAAACCGACAATGATGTCTGCCACGAGTGAGGGCAGTGAAAGGAGCAGTGCACTGCATGCAAAGTGTAGTAGAACTGTCTGGGAGCCACTCTGGGGGTTCAGCTTCCAACACATCTTTGTAAGCACTATAGTTAGTCCCAGTGGGCTCAAGAAGAGGTGGGGCACTCGGTATGTAAACTGAAGAGTGCAAGAAAGTTTCTCCATTCTTAGCAGAGCCTAGAAATGAAACATTTGAACTGGAGAATTGCAGACCTCCACTGATATCTGAATCTTTATTACGGCCAGTCACAATCGCAACAATCCCACTCAAGACATTTTTCAAGTTCACCTCAGGACGCATTATTTGTTGCCCAGAACTACAATGATCTTCACTAGAATCATATCCATCCTCAAAATTTTCTTCAGGTTCAAGGGGATATTGATATGAATATTTTTGTCCCAAGGACCTTGAGCCTGAGGGGCAAGTACTATTGCCTTTTGGCACATCCCAAGCAGAATCACTGTAGTCATCAATATAGTGGAAATTGCTGCTTTCCTTTTCTACATTAGAAAGTGAAGCATATGAAACTCTTCCCCCGGATTTTTCCATAAATTATGATGCATACATCCACTGACTGAAATCAACTAGAAATTACACTGCAATCATCAAAACAGATATCCCAGTCACAATTTTCAAAACAAAATGAACCAAGAAAAAAATAGTTCTCAAATTTGGTCCACTCATGTTTGATCTAAAAAGCACATGTGGTGAATGGTGAAACAATATCTAGCATTAAACTGGACCATATGCCCGCTACTACCTCAAAAAAACAAAAAAAAATGTAACAGTTATGAATCCATAATTCTGTTCAGATTCAGGGACACGAGGAAGTCATCTAACCACTAAGGTTGTGTTTGATTGGAAGATTTGATGAGGGGCATGGAAAGAGAAAAGGAAATGCAATCCCACTTTTTGTTTGGTTATAATAGAAAACATAGGGGAAAAGAAAATGAGAGGGAAATGCATTCCCACTTTTTGACTTTTGGGTTCACTTAAAATTTTCAGCGAGAAGAAAATCAATAATCAATAACACAATAAAGTGTTCATCCTTTTTTCTGTTAAATTGGCACAATTGAATGACCCTAAAGGGACTCAAAATAGTTCCTCTGAGATGAAGCTAAAAGTGATACTTATGAGACATTCTACAAGGCTACAAATAATACAAGAATTTCAATTAAAGCAACCTAGTTTGACAAGTACATTTGTCCACTCAAATAAAATCACCTCTCTCATATTTCTTTTCATGAATTGAAGGCCAATTTGGAAACTCAGCATATAGGTAAGCCAGTTTCAAAAGAAAAAATAATAATAATCAGCACAAGCCATAATTTTGCAACATGAAAATCCTGGAATGCATCATAGCATGTATGCAGCAGCTCCGCTAAGACTTAATTGAACCCTCGTCCTACATTATTTTTCCATTTGAGCACTTCAATTAAATATGCAAACAACAAATAACAGATGTTCAAAACAGAATCATCAAGCATCTTCATCTACTGCCCAAACTGAATTCAGTGCGAATAGCAAATTAATTGGATTTTCTCTTCTCGGAAACAAATATTTTTTGGTTAAAAATGCAAAATTTAAGGCATGGATGCAAAATTGAAAGTTTTTATTTCTTTTTTCCCCCCCTTTCCCTGAATCATCAATCATCTTCATCTACTGCCAAATTGAAAATCAATTGGATTTTCTTTAATCGGAAATAAAAATAGCGGCTTTTTGGTTAGAAAAGACAAAATTTAAGGCAAGAATGCAAAATTAAAAGCTTTTTTTTTATTATTATTTTTAAAATTGCTCTGGAATTAGGGTTTATACAGAGTTACCTTCCTTCAAATTCAACCAACACAAACAGAAATATTAATCATACTAATTACTAATAGAAAGAAAGAAAACAACAAATTTATATAAGAAGGAAGGAATTGAACGCATAGAGAATAGAATTGATTTTACCTTATTTTGGCTTTAGCCGTGTTTGTATGCTCAGTCAGCTTTTGATTTTTTCAGAGAAGATGAAGAGGCCCCTGATCCTTCAACAGCTCTGTGACTCTTAGATGATGATTTTGTTCGAGAGATCAAACCCCTTTTCCAATCCCCAATTTCTTCTTTCTTTTTTTTTCTTTTTTTTTTTCAATTTGAGGTTTCGTTTCCAACTCAACTTGATAAATACTGTGTGTACACGGAAGGAAGTAACAACAAACCAATCAAAAAAATAGTAAATTACAAATACACCCCTAACATTTATTTAAAATATAAATTATTATTTGCAGTTTTAAAAATTATATCACATCCATTAAAAATTTTAATTTCATAATAAATGACTTCTTTTATTAATAAATTATCCAATTAATCAATAGTTTTTAATAATATTAGTAATTTATTTAATTAATAATTCAAGTAATTTTATTATTGTATAAGAAAGCAGTTAAGAATTTTATTTTTTCAGTTAATTTTGTTAAATAAAAAATTTTAATAATGGGATATTTATAATTTTTACAGGGACAATCTATATTTTAAATAAATTGCTAAGGTATATTAAGATATCTCCCTTCAAGTTTGAACTTATTACAATTTTTCCCTTTTGTGTTGATAAAATTGCATCATTCTCATTAGATCTTAAATTCGTATTACAAATTGGTCCATCAAATTTATTCATGTCCTTAGGTTGTGTTTGGTAAGGGTTTTGAAAAAGAAAAAAAAGTAAAAGTAAGTAAAAGGTGAAGAATAATGTTATATGCACCAATTAGTGTACTAACTATTGTACTAACACTAGTTATGACATTATTATTGACACCACTCATTAATCATATTATAAATACCAAAAACCTTAAATTATGATTAATGAGTGGGGTCTGTTAGCCCCAAGGTTATTTAATTCTAAATTCTATTGATTTTGATTATGAACAAATATTTTGAACTTATTTTGCTATTTGAAGTTTTCAAAATAAAAATATAAAAAATTGTGCTTCATAAATTCTAGAAGTCATATGACTCTAAAGTATCATTTTTAATGATTTTTGGGGCTTCAAAACATGAGCATCAAAACTTGATTGCAAAACTCTATTTATACTTAAAATAGGTCTAAGGGTCGATACCAAGATGGTATGGGTCGACACCAGAATGAAGCTCAAAATGCACAAGTGTTCTAGCAGCAAGGGTCGACACTAAATTTTAGAATGCAAATTCAGCAGCAAGGGTCGACACCAAAAAGCACAAGGGTCACATACTAAATTTCAAAAAGCATTTCAGCAGCAACGGTTGACACCAAGAATGATAAGGGTCGACACCAAAGACATTTGAGACTCAATACAGCGAAGAGAGAGATACAAAGGGTCGACACCCAATTTGTAGGGGTCGACACCTGTAAATCTGGGTTTAAAAAAATTCGACCTGCCAAATCAGATCCAGACTGTTACAGACCTTTTCTCAGCCACTTTTTCAAACTTATGTACAGAATATGCCATTTCTTCTGACCCCTGAACAAATCTTCTGATACCATATCCTCTCCAAGAAGTTGACTTATGAGGTTGAGCATTAAATAAAAGGTTTGTGCATTTAATGATATCTTCTCTTCCCAAGACCTACATACAGTCTGTCTCCTTTACATTCTGATCAAACGCAGCTGGAAGATATGTTTCTTGATTTGCTCCAACGGCTAAGAGATTCAAATCTCCTCTCTCCAATAGCTAGAAGCCATTAATGCTATAAAGATACAATTCTTCTTGTTCATTCAACACACTTCTTTAATACAACAAGCCTAGAGCATTCAAGAGCAATCAAGGGCTTTTAATATACTCCATTTTGTACTTTCATTTTCATATCTGAGTGACTCTTAAATTACTTAAGAGCTTACATTTTCATATCCATATTTTGTAAGAGAACATTTGTAAAAGCGGAAAGTTATACTTTTTATTCTTATTCCTTATTTTCTGAATGACACACTTGTAAAGTGAGGCATTTAGTTGAGAGGATCTCAACAGATTGAAGTAAGTCCTTGAAAAAATCCACAAACTAGGTGGAACTTGGTGGTGCATCTATTCATAGTGAAGAAATTCTCAAGAAGGTGTCTTGAGGAGTGGTCGTAGGCTGGTGAGCCAAACCACTATAAATCCTTGTGTCAAGTTCTTCTTTCATTTCCTTTTATTTTCTGTCCATTCATTTATTGTCATTTGCCATTAAATACTTAATCTTTGCAACTTCATTTTTGGACCAAATTTTTAATTACCTAATTCACCCCCCCATCTTGGGTTGCCTTCCTAAATAACAATTGGTATCAGAGCCTCGTCTCTAGTATTATGACTTAACCGTCTTACAGTGATTTATGGCAATCCCTAGCTCCTCTCTTCCTGAAGGTCAAGCCTCAAATAGACCACATTTCTTCAATGGCACAAATTTCAACTATTGGAAAACTCGCATGATTATGCATATTCAATCTACCAACTATGGGATTTGGAAAATCATATGTGATTGTCCTAAAGTCCGTACCAAAACCATAGATGGTATGTTAGTCCCCAAACTTGAAAGTGAGTGGACTAGTGCTGATTACAAAGATATTCAATCTAATGCCAAAGCTGTTAACATGTTATATTGTACACTTGATGGTATTGAGTTTAATAGAATAAGCACTTGTACAAATGCGAAAGAAATTTGGGATAAACTTGTTGTAACTCATGAGGGAATTACTCAAGTCAAAGAGTCTAGGGTGAGCTTGCTTGTTCACAATTACGAGCTCTTCAAGATGAAACCTGATGAGAATATATCCCAAATGTTCACTCGCTTTACAAACATTATAAACAGTCTTAAATCTCTTGGGAAGACTTATACTAATGCAAAGATTGTCAGAAAAGTTCTCCGATCATTGCCAAAAAGTTGGGAGAACAAAGTTATTGCAGTGATAGAAGCAAGAGACTTGTCAACATTGAGTCTTGATGAGCTAATGAGATCTCTCATAACCCATGAAATCATCATGCAAGAAGGAAAAGAAGAAGAAGACAAAAATAAGAAGAAAGGGATAGCTTTCAAGTCTACCTCAAAGTCTCAAGAGGAAGAAGAAGATGCTCCAGAAGAAGATGAAGAAATGGCTTTCATTACCAAAAGATTCAAAAGGTTTGTGAAGAAGAAACATGGTGTAAGAAAGTTCTTTAGAAAAGACTTCAACAAAGATCTTCAAAAAGGAGAATGTCATAAAAAAATCTGAAGTTACTTGCTATGAATGTAACAAGCCGGGACACTACAAACCGGAATGTCCAGAGCTCAAAAAATAATTCAAGAAGGATAAGAAAAAGGCCATGATCGCAGCTTGAGGGGAAGATAATGATGATAGCGACTCAAAGGCGAATCTTTGCAAAAATGAAGTCGCAAATCTATGCTTAATGGCACTTGAAGATGAGGTAAATGATGACTCCTTTAGTTTTGATGAATTACAAACTGCCTTTGATGAATTGCATGCTGAATTTAAAAAATTAAATATGAAAAATAGTTGTCAAAAGAAAATGATCTCAAGAAAAGGAATCCCTGACTTCTAAGATCAATACTTTAGAAAATAAAGTCTTGACGTTGGAAAAGGAGAAAGAATTTTCAAAGGAAAAAGAATTCTTCATTTTTGAAAAGAAAGTAGATGATTTGCAAAAGGAAAATGAAAATTTGAAAAATGAGAAAATTATCTTAAATGAAAATATGAAAGATTTAAAAAATGTTCTCTCAAAATTTACTCAAGGTAGAGACACTTTAGATAAAATTCTCAAAAGTCAAAATCAAACATTTGGAAGAATAGGAATTGGCTATAAACCTTTTTCAAAAGCAAAAAATTCCAAAAAGACCTTTGTTTATGCATCGTCCAACTATTTTCGTCTCACATGTCATTATTGTGGAAGAAAAGGTCACATCTCTCTTTCATGTCCTACTAAGAGCAACTCATTTGATGGAATGAAAAAGAAGTGGGTTCCTAAAAACACTTTGACTCCTAACTCTCATGAACCCAAGAAACAATGGGTACCAAAAGGTCAACAAAAATCTAATTTTTGTAGGTGTGCTTTAGGTCAAAATCCAGCAACAATCGATGGTACCTTGATAGTGCGTGCTTAAGGCACATGACCGGAGATAGAGTAATGTTTTCAACCCAAATCCAAAGAAGGAGGTCACGTAACCTTCGGAGACAATAGTAAAGGAAAGATCATCGGCGAAAGTAGTATTGGTAAAACTTCTTTACCCATCATAGAAAATGTATTGCTTGTTAAAGGATTGAAACATAACTTGCTTAGTATTAGTCAAATGTGTGATAAATGCAATCATGTCACTTTTGAAAAATCCCACTGCACTATTAAAAATTATGCTGAAAACAAAGTGCTTTTTGTTGGTTATAGGGATGAAAATGTATACATGTTTGATTTGCACAGTTTATCTCCTAATCATGATGTTAAGTGCTTATCTACTATGAATGAATCCAGATGGCTATGGCATAGGAGGCTAGGACATACTCATATGGATTTGCTTTCAAAACTCTCAAAACTTGATTTAGTTATTGGCTTACCAAAAATTGATTTTGAAAAAGATAGACTTTGTGATGCTTGTTAACAAGGAAAACAGACAAGGATTTCTTTTAAATCTAAAAATATTATTTCCACTTCTAGACCTCTTCAATTGTTGCATATTGGCTTGTTCGGACCTTCTAGAACATTAAGTCTTTTGGTGTAGACACACCATTTTGACCAGCTCTAAGACTTAGGCGCTTTTTGTTGATTACCCGATGATGACAATCAGAATGCGTTCCCCAGCAGTCCTCAACAAGAAAAATGAAATTTGAGCTTTAATCCCAACCTTCACTCATTTTTGGCCAAACTATTTTATATCTTAAAACCCTCTTTTCAAAATATTTTTCCAAATGTTTTTACGATGTTTCGAGGCTCCAATTTCAATTAAAATATTGCACTTTTCAGTAAACCGAGTAAGGACAAAGTGAAAATAAATGGAAGGGAGGTGAACTATTTGAAAAACTATTTAAAAACATCTTCTTTATAGGTTTGGATAGGCTTGGATTTGAAGGAAACAGGAGGAGATGGAAGAAAACTAGTTTAGGAAAATAATGATCATTAAATCATTAAGAAGGAAATGAACAACCTTTACTAAATTAGGTATATCTCTTTGTACACCAAG